TTTCATCTTTCATTTAAAAAGGGGTATGAGACGAAAGCTACAGTATCTACGGGTATAGTGTCAATCTAAAGACGGAGTCCTATAAGCAGGAACAGGGAGTAAATCTGATGTTCTTCAAGGCGAGCGATAGGAAATAGTCAAGACTGTGGATGGATAAAGGGACATATCAATATTGCATTCCGTGAATTGAATTAACAGGATCTTGGTTAATTTGTAACCAATTTAATTCGGTAATTGACCAATAGACGCGTAGACCATAAAGTTTTCCAGCCCTTGCTAGGCTGAATAGATCCCCTGTATGGGTTTGTGGGTTGTGACTCGAGTACAACTGTAGTTGGTTGGTACTCCTGGGTGATTTGTATATCGAACAATGTGGTGGGTGTTACTCAGGATACACATAGGTAATTATTACTGTTATTATTTTACTCTTATTATTGTCTATTATTTATTATTATTACTCTATTATTATTATTATTATTTATTATTTATTATACTCTATTATTATTGGAAAAGATACGTAAGCACATTTACATTGAAGAAGGTTAGAATAATGGTTTAATCAGAGTTGGACAGTCTTATCTTAAATTACAGTTTTATGTAAATATTCAAAAACATTTAACCTACTGATGCCTTAATTAATGTAATTTTATTGGTATCTATTTTTATTTTGAAATTTACCAGTAGCTGCTAATTTTTTCACCCTCAGCTTATACTCGAGTTGATACGTTTTCCCAGGTTTTTTTGTGGTAAAATTAGGTGCCTCGGCTTATATTCGGGTCGGCTTATACTCGAGTATATACGGTAATTTGTTTCCACAATAGAACACACTGTTTTTGGAGAGGCTTGTTGGCAGCACCACTAATATTGGTCTTTTACCCTTGCGGGCATTATCCAATAGAAGAAAATAATGTGAAAATATCTAACATAAGATTTATTAAACAATACCTATTTTACATTCCTATTTTACACTGTCATTAAAAAAATTCTTCAGAAGGTATTTCTTGAATCTTCCTTGATTCTGATTTTCCCTCCCTTAAAGAGATATGCACTTCCTTATTTTTAGGCACTGCAAAAGTCAACCTGGTGAAAATCCCATCAACTGCTTCAAGCCCACGGGACACTGCTCTGGCTGCTGTGATATGCAGTGCACTGGCAACTGTGCTTTTAGCACTCCTCATCCTATGTGTTATCTATTGCAAAAGGCAATTCATGGAAAAGAAACCAACATGTAAGTTTCTCATGCTACAATTTTAATATTGCTGCCTATGTCATCTTTATTGGAGCATGTAAAAATCAGTTGGTGAGTGTGTTAATTGAAAAATACAAAGCACAAAGCTGATTAGTTGAGCCATGCCTGGGATGCTAGCTGAGTCTGGGAATGTTGACAACACTTACATGTTTAGGTTTTCTGTAAAGGAGCTTGCCCAGACAAGTTAGTATATTTTTTTGCTTCTGAGCTGCTGGAAGAAGATCCTTCACATGGACACCCAAGGAACATTTGAATCTCTTTCAAAAGACATTGTGTGAGTCAGTGCAACTGTTGCTCTGTATAACAAAGAGTAAACACCTTATTCTTTACTGATCATCTGCGTGGCATATCTTTTCTCTAGCAAGACAGCGGTTGGTTTTTGACACCTGGGACTCTGTGGACCATACAAGACTTCAAATACTTCTGAGTTTAAATTTCATTTTTCATTTTCTTTTCTTGAGGTTGGGAGTGCTCTCCCACTCTGAAAATATACATAACTGTTATTTCTAAAAGATTCCAGGTGCCCAAATAGCATTATTTCTAGAAATGTTTTTTGTGGAGGAAACAATGCAATTGAGTGAGGTTTTAGAGGAGTCAATGGCTTCAGAAACAATGTTTAGATTGTGTTCAGTCTGTGTTACCAGTCCCTGACTGAAATATACATGATGATTCTCTACTATGCAGAGAAAAATAATGATAATTGAGTTATCAAGCTGAATTGGAAAACCATTTGTCCAGTTTGAGCAGTGACACCATAGAGGAATATTGTCTGAAGCCTGGGTATTCAAATGTACCCAATGACTGCCAGTCCACACCTTTGCTATTCTTGCCTAGTCCATAGTCAAAACATTCATGACTCTGTGCCAGTTACATGATGACCAGCCAAAATTCATGTTACTGTGTGAAAACAGTTCTGTGAATCACCACTGAGATTTTTTATCGTGTCGGAAGCGACTTGAAAAACTGCAAGTCGCTTGAAAAACCGCACTTGGCCGTCTGCAGAGACATTGCCCAGGGGATGCCCGGATGTGTTACCATCCTGTGGGAGGCGTCTCTCATGCCCCTGCATCTGGAACTGACAGATGGGAGCTCACCCTGTCTTGCGGATTCGAACTGCCAGCCTTCAGGATTTAACCCATTGTGCCACCGTGGCTCTGCACTGAGATAAAGGCTAGCCAATGATCTGGGTTTCCTCTCAAACAACGGACAGTAAACTATGCCTGTTTTTTTCCCATGGCAAAAGAAGATGGAGAAAAGATTCTTAGCTGGCATTTATAAATTGTTTTCAGCTTTAAACAAGAAAGAAGTTTCCATCTGTTACTGGGAGATAATATCAGTCAGTTCTTAAAGCCATCTGAAGTGGACTGTGGACAAGAATATACATATTATAAAAAATATCGTAGAGTCTCTGGTCCAATTTACAATTGCATGTGAATGTGATTTTTTACTAGCTGTAATAAGAGAATACTGTGAACACAAGACAGTTTAACAGTATCCATCATCAATGTCTCTTTTGCTCTGCAGGGTCTATGAGGTCACAGGACGTTCACTATGAAGGCTCTGAACTGTCTTGCTTTGACAGACCACAATTCAATATGTACACTCACAGAACATGCTGCCAATGTCAACGGGACCCATCACAGATGTGTGGTAAGTACTTTATCGAAGACCTGGAAAACAAAAGATACAGCTATTCTGAATTTTTTACAGTGTTCTCTATTTCCTCCTGAGAGAAAATATTGAATATAAAAGAAACAATGAAGAAGTTTGATATTGAAATAAACATTGTTTCCCCTGAAATAATGAGAGAACTACTAGCATGTCTGAGCCCCAGGTGGCTGTTGAACTTGATGACCGAAAAGTCGGCACTTCGAATCCGGGGAGCAGGGTGAGCTCCCGCTGTTAGCCCCAATCTGCACACTTAATCATTAATACTCTCACAAAATCATAGGAACATAGAGATGGAAGAGACCACAAGGCTATACAGTCCAATCTCTTGTAATTCTACAAAAATGAACATTTATAATACGGTTGCTAGTAGTACCTTGCTGTGCTTCCATTCATTCATATATTATCTACCTTTTAACCTAAATTTCCAATGTAGTGTTCCCCTGCTACTTCACGGTTCGCTTTTCGCGGACTCGCTGTTTTGTGGTTTTTTGCTTCCCAGTTTATGAATGGTTGCTGTTGCTCAGAGCGGCATTCTAATTCCACCTCCTGGCAACGATGGAGTGTGGAAGGGGGTTTCACCCTACCCCTCAGGAGAGAGGCAGCCAATCAAGAGAGATTGCAAAGAAAAGCAGAGATGGCTAGCAAAAAAAAGGTGTGCAGTGCCTTTAAATCTCTCCTTGCTTCTGCCTCACCCTTGGAACTCAATATACAAATATAGCATCCCTACTTTGTGGATTTTCACTTTTTGCGGGTGATCCTGGAACGTAACATCCACTATAAGTGAGGAAATACTGTACTATCTTTTATCCTGTAGTCTAGCATGTTGTATTTCTAGATCTATACTATTTGTTAAAATAAATCTTAATTTTGTTTAGGTGCAGTGCATTTGATTCCATCACTGTGCTGTGACGAGACATGTAGCTTGGAACACAGTTGTCATAACTGTACTTTCCACTCTCGAGCCACACTTCATGAAAGGTATTTCAAATTATTTACTTGGTTTCCTATTATCTATTGTATATTTTAGTTTTTTAAAAAATGCTTATTGTTGGATGTTCTTATTTCAAGATAACAAAGTTAAAAATTTCTAACTTCTGAGAAATGTTTTCTGCCAGTTTCATGGGAAAGTATTCTTCATTGTGGTCACCAAGCATCATGTATAGGAGCACCCAGTGGCGCAGTGGGTTAAACCCTTGTGCCGGCAGGACTGAAGACTGACAGGTCGCAGGTTCAAATCCGGGGAGAGGCGGATGAGCTCACTCTATCAACTCCAGCTCCTCATGCGAGGACATGAGAGAAGCCTCCCACAAGGATGATAAAAACATCACATCATCCAGGCATCCCCTAGGCAATGTCCTTGCAGACGGCCAATTCTCTCACACCAGAAGCGACTTGCAGTTTCTCAAGTTGTTCCTGACACAACAAAAAAAAATCATGTATATGGTCTGTGCCACTGTGCACAGCCTTGTTTTGGAACCATCCATAGCTTAGAACAAAATGATGATGATTGTTGTTCTTTTGTTCAGCCTCTGACCTTGCATTTCTAAGGAACTGGAATGTGGGACAGAGAGCTCTCATTCTCAGGGTTTAAAATCTCCCGAATCTCTTGCTCACCTGTATTATTTATTTATTTATTTATTTATTTATTTATTTATTTATTTAGGGCTTTTATATCCCGTCCTTTCTCAACCTCCGCAGAGGGACTCAGGACAACTAACAAATCGGCACCCATGGCACCCACATCAAAACATGAATATACAATTTAACAACAATATAATAAAACAGCAATATAAGCAATATAAACAGTATAAAACCTTATGAACAATATAAAAGCAGTCTAAAAACAGACAACAAACAGTCAGCGGTCACTGATTTAAACATTATCCAGGGGCAGTCCATTCGTTCTATATAGGTCAGCACGTTAGCTAGTCAGCCTACTCTCCAAAGGCCTGATCCCATAGCCAGGATTTTACTTGTTTCTGGATGGACAAGAGGGATGCAGCTGATCTAATTTCACTTGGGAAGGAGTTCCATAGCTGAGGGGCCACCACAGAAAAGGCCCTGTCCCTTGTCCCCACCAAACGCGATTGCGACAATGGGGGGGGGGGACAGCAAGCAGGGTCTCCTCAGATGATCTTAGGGCCCTAGGTAGAGTGTAGCGGGAGATACGTTCAGATAAGTAAACTGGGCCAGAATCGTTAAGGGCTTTATAGGCCAAAGCCAGCACTTTGAATTGTGCTCGGAAGCTAATAGGCAGCCAGTAGAGCTGGCGTAAGAAGGGCGTTGTGCGCTCCCTGTACCCAGCCCCGGTGAGCAGCCTGGCTGCCAAATGTTGGACTAGTTGGAGATTCTGGGCAGTCTTCAGAGGCAACCCCACATAGAGTGCATTGCAGTAGTCTGCCTAACAGGCCCAGAATTTCCAGTGAGATCGGGTACAGGCACAATCACAAGCTGAACTACAGCAAGAAGGTCCGCTTCCATTCATGACATGGCTGCTAGTGCTTTTGGTTAGCAAATAAATAAATAAACAAGTGACCATATATGAACATGTGGGCCTGTCTTCCTTTTTTGTTTCTAATACATATCCATCCATTCTCTCCTTTGATTATTACCGTCTGATGTCTGCAAGGCTTTTCTACATGGTTTCAGCCTTCTGTGTTTACTCAGTGCTGTCATCTTGTCATCTGTATATGAACACAGATGATTCCATTGGCAAAGCAATACTCTCATCTCTCCATCTCATATGTCAATAGATAAACATTTTATTCATCTGTATATATGATGCAAGGACTACAATGAAGTCTAGGTTGCTTACCTTGCGTCATGTCTTTATTGTTAGGGATGATGTTGTAGTCTGATTGAATTGAGCTTTGGGGCTTGTATAGTAATGGGGAGAGGAACGAGCCACTAATCCACATTGTAAGGGCCTTCCCAATAAATACTTTATGCACTAGGCTCAAGTGTGGGGGACAAAATGGATAGTTAAAGCATTTTGATGTTGCAGTTTTGTAGCAGTGAAATTACATTATTTTATCACTTGAGAATATGTAAATCCCTTTGCCACTCACTCCAAGGTGGACTTTCCACCTCTTGGAAATACCATATTATATTACATAGAACAGGGTCCCCTGGAGACACAGCGGGATAAACCGCTGAGCTTCTGAAATTGCTGACCAAAAGGTTGGCGGTTCGAAGCTGAGAAGCAGGGTGAGCTCCTGTTGTTAGGTCTAGCTTCTGCCAACCTAGTAGTTCAAAAATATGCAAATGTGAGTGGATCAATAGGTACCACTTCTGCAGGAAGTTAATGGTGCTCCATGCAGTCATGCTGGCCACATAACCAAGGAGGTGTCTCCGGACAATGCCGGCCCTTCAGCTTAGAAATGGAGATGAGCTCCACTCCCCAGAGTTGGACACGACTAGACTTAATGTCGGGGGGAAATTTACTTTACTATTATGTAGAACAAACTACTTGAACTGCCTGCTGCGCCACAATCAAAATAAGATAGTTAATTCTTTTTTCAGCTTTTGATTTTCATGTTATTTTTAAGCATTGTTAAAATTGACTTTTATTTCTTGCAGAGGTTCAAGTTCAGTTGGGGAAATGATTCCAGCCTTCCTTGGTTCTCTGTCACATTCTGCCTGTGGAGATCTTTCAGATGCTTGGCCCCTGATCCAAAAGCCAACTTGTTGTGATAGCATTTCTTCCTGTGAATCATATCCTGAGCTAATAGGAGACGATGAAAATTCCTTCAGCCTAGAGACTGAAAAAACAGCCATTGTGGATTCTGATCATGAACAGGATCTAACAGTATTAACAACTGCAAAGTCTCATTTTGGAAGCCTGACAGAAGCAACTGAACTTCCTAAAAAGACTTATTGTATCACAACTTCATTGAGCCACTTTATGGCTGCCGAACCACTGTCAACAAGAGAGCATGACAGAACAGTTAGCAGTTCAACAAACTGATGAACAGGTAAGAAAGCAATTAATAGTTGTTTGGGAGACAAGAGTATCAAGCACTTTCTCAGAATGTATCAGTGTCTCAATTACTTATTCTCGCTCAGTGTAAGATTTTCACAAATTGAAACAAACTCTTGATGCCCTCTTCGAAAGCTCATTTCTTGATATTTCTGTGCTAATTCAATGCTCTAACGCAGTGGTTCTCAACCTGTGAGTCCCCAGATGTTTTAGCCTTCAATTCCCTGAAATCCTAACAGCTGATAAACTGGCTGGAATTTCTGGGAGTTGTAGGCCAAAACACTGGGGACCCACAGGCTGAGAACCACTGCTCTAACCAATACTTTCAGCCCAATTAGCAGTGAATACAAGATCACAAGATATAGGAAAGAGATAATAGCAACTTCTGTTATTCTAAGGTTTGGGATCATCATTTCTAGTGCCAGTTCAGGATAAGTGTTTGTAGCACAACAGGCGATTGTTTTCCAAACATTTAAGGTGCAAAGTTGCCTTACTTTGGTTTATGGGATTTAATGCAGAAGACATCACCCTTTATGTAGGTGTGGTTCAAGGAGGGAAATCACCTTGGGCCTGAATGAAACATGGTCCATGACCAAGAGCTCAACCTGAAATGTCATATTGCATTCTCTTATCTATCCCACTTCCATTTTTGCTTTGGGGCTGGAGTGGTGAGTGACTGATGCATTTTGCAGTAATTTAAAGCAGATTGAGAGTGAAAACTCTCTGGAAAAATAAAATTTAAACATTTAGGGTGAATTTGACGATTTGGAGGCTTCAAGGCCGTCATAGGCCATACGCTTAAGATTGGGTTGTATTTCCTCACCCTGGGTTCACACATTTGTCTGCTGTCTGGAACCTCAGCTTGCAAGTGATTCTGGTTTTAGAAAGTAGCATTTCTCTACTATTTAATTAGTAGAGATAGCTCAGAATACAGTTCTTGTTTCACATATCAAACGAATCTTTTATAACATAATTATTTGAAAGTATTTGGTCTCATTTTCAAATCTGTCTAATTTTAATTGTCTGTTCATACTGTTATTGTTCCATTGATATGTTAACTGACCCAGCCTTGCTCTACTATTCCACAAGACCCAAAATAACAACTATTGGTCCTGGAGAAGGCCAGGTGTGTGTGTGTGTGTGTGTGTATTGCACAAGGTCCTGAATCTGGAGTATGGTCCCCAGAAAAATCTACAGGTAAAACACGTGCCTGGCAGTTTATGGTCTGTCAAGAAACGTCTGGGCCCAAGCTGTAGAGAGCTTTTATAGACCATAACCAGCACTGGCTATGTCTTATAAAATCTTATTTGGCTTAGGTCCAGACGGTCTGAAAGATCGTATCACCCTCTATGGGTTTGCCAGCATCTTAGGATCCTCAAGGGAGGGCTTCCTCTGAGTCCGGGGCCATCTGGCTCAGGACATGGGAACGGAGTCTTGCAGACTAAGCTGCCCCCAGGCTCTCCTTTCACCAGCCAGCAAAGATCTTTTTACTCAAATAGGCATTTAATGATTAATTGGTTGCAGGGAACCTTTTTATGGTATAAATGTGATAAATTTTAACTCAATTTTTAGGTTTTTAAATGCATTTATACTTTCTGAAATGTTAAGGGTATTTGAATTGATGGATTCAGTTTTAACTGTCATTTATCCCCTTTTTAGCTTACATTATTTTAGACATTAGTAAGCTTTCTTGGGTTCCATCTTGGATGGCATGATAAGAATGTTTTGTGCCTTTGGCGGTTTATTTTACTTCAGGGCTCCCCCCCCCCCCCCCAAAAAAAAAACCCATGAAATTTTCTAGGCAGAAGCCTAGATTTGGGCCACCTGCCCACACACACTTTCATACGGAAAACAGTATAGTATTACCACAGTATAGTATATACCCCCCCCCCCCTGCATGAAAAAAATCCTGAAATTCAGAAACATGTCACGGTAGCTGCCATATTCTTGATTAGGTGTCTCAGTAGAGCAGTGGTTCCCAACTTTTTCTTGACCAGGGACCACTGTCTAACATTAGTACCAAACAGGTTACAAATTAGTTTTTGATCAACTTTAGATTCGGTTGGGTTATTTGGGGTGCAGATTCAGAAAATTGCATTGGAGAGACCAGATCAGCTGTAGTTTTTGATACAGAACATGTGCCATCCAGTAGTTGCCAGAAAACCACATTTGATGATTTAGAGCTGATATGGTAATAGTTATCTTTTGTGGGTAGTTAGCCCCTCCTCTCCCAACATCCCCATTGACTTGACACTATAGGGTTTTGTGATGCCAGTTGCTCTCATTGCCACATGGTCTTGAGGCAACAGCGTAGTAATGGTGAGGTCCCAACCATATTTTCGTTCTTGTGGTCCACGGACCACAGGGTGAGAACCACTGCAATACAGCACGAGGAAAATTGGAAGTATTCTTTACATCCCTAGAAAGCAGTAGGGAAACCTAGATTATTTATTTATTTATTTAAAGCATTTATAACCCATCCTTCCCAACCTCAGAGGAGGGACTCAGAACGGCTGCCATCTGACAACAATTCAATGCCATACAATGTAATCACATACTAAAACAACCATACACAGTAAAATAATTATAAATATGCATTAAAAACAATTCACCAAGTTAAAAACATCATCCAACTCAATCCAAAATTGTGGTCCAATCAAATTTTTGTCTTCACCAGTGCAATCCATCTAATCTGCAAACACCTGATTCCTTAGCCAGGATTTCAGTTTCTTCCAGAAGATCAGGAGGGAGGGGGGAAGATTTAACCCTAATTGGGGAGAGAGTTCAACAGCCGGGGGGCCACCACAGAGAAGACCCTGTCTCTCATCCCCACCAAAGATAAAAGCCAACATTGGTGGTGTAATCAGAAGGCTATGATATTTAAGTATAAACAGGAGATTATTATTTTCAATAACTGCATGGGAAAGTCTGATAATATTTTATTTTCAGGTTTTTCCAATGGAAATAAATATTCTTTTCTGTAATAAATGTATACTTGGTATATTAAAAGAAAAACCTTTTGGTTAGAATGGCAAAAATGAAAAACAAGAGCATCTTTTTATAATAGCAGCTACAGTAACGTTTTGAACATGGGTTCTCCTGCAATTGACTAACACCTGCTCCATTGCTCTCTCTCTCTCTCTCTCTCTCTTTTAAAGGAATCTAAAGGACGCTCCTTGGCAACCCATCAACTGAATGCTTCCCTCCATGCCTCTCCTCTAATGCTTGTGAATGGAATGTAGCCTGGATCTCGATGTTACAAGGTTTCAGAAACAGCTGAAATAAACTGGCAGCATTTCAAAGCTCCTGGGCAGTTGTGTTTGAGGCACAGCAGCTGTATGGAAAACTTCAAGGAGAAGCCTGGTAAAAGGCCAAAGGCCTTTCCATGCTTCTCCCTCTCCCTCTCTCCCTCATTCTTTCTCTCTCATAAACAGGAGGATTCTGTGTGTCTCATTGACTCACAAAGTTTAGACTAGTCTTGCAGCTAAGAAGATTATGTAAATAGAACAAGCAAGAGAATAGTATGGTTGTATTGTGTATGGCTGCTCACAGCAGCAGATGTGTGTTGAGGGGTGCCTGTTATTTCTTGGCAAAAGGAAGCATGTAATAAGACTTTCAACAAGCTGTGCAGATTCGATGTAGAATGTGTCATAAATCTCATACTGCAGAGAATCCTTTTTTAAAAAATGAATGTTTTTATGCTTCCATACATTAGTTGATTGTGAATTGTAAACTATGATATCTGACATTTGCCATCCTATATGTATAAGTGTTTGCCGGAAGTGCTATCAGAATTGCGAATGTGCTTTTTCTAGCTCGATTCTGGGTATATTTACACAGAATTGTGTCCCAGCTGTATCAGTGATCAGGTAAACGTACATAGTATTACAGCGCTAATGTGGTAGCAACTTTCCACCACTGATATTTTCCCCTTCCTAAATATACTAACATCAGCTTTCAAATAAAATATTTGCATTTATAAAATAGCACCACTGGCATTATCTACCTAAAACTAAGCACATAGAGGTGCCAGTTATTTATTTATCTAGTTGTGTGGAACTCCTAAAATATCAATAAATACTCATTGTGTCTAAACTTATACCCGATGTTTTTAGGTTTAAAGTACAGGATGAGATCGATTCAAAGATAATGAAGCTGGTGGGGAAAATACAGTATATACCAGGTATGGGCAAACTGCGGCCCTTTGGACTCTTCTCTCAGGCCCCTCTCTGCCTCAGTCCTCCTCTGACGCAGTGGCCCTCTGTGCCCCCAGGCTGAGAGGAGAGCCAGGGCAAAGACATGGTGCTGGTGAGCACTTTCCAGAGAGTTCTCACCAGCACCTTGTTTCTCCTTCTCCTCTAAGCCTCTGGACTCAGAGACGAAGCAGGGAGAAACATTGCACTGGTGAGTGCTCCCTCCAACGCCATGTCTTTCCTTCTCTTCTGAGCCTTGGAAAGGTGGGCTTTCCCTGGACTCAGAGGAGAAGTGGGGGAGAAACATGGCACTGGAGAAAGGGTTATCACCAGCTCCATGTTTCTCCTCCTCTGAGGCTTGGGAAGGCAGCGCACCTTGCCCGGAGTTAGAGGAGAAGCAGGGGAGAAACATGGTGCTGGAGAATGGGTTCTCACCAGCTTCGTGTTTCTCCTTCTCTGAGGCTTGGGAAGGCAGTGCGCCTTTCCTGGACTTAGAGAAGCAAGGGAGGAACACAGCGCTGGCAAGAATGTTCTTGCGAGGGCCATTTGCAACCCCACCCCACCCACTCCTGTCCCAACCCCACTCTCTCCCTCCTCAACCTTGCCTTCTCTCTCCCCCATCCCTTCCAGCCCAGCCCCTTCCGGCCCCACCCGCACTCCCTCCTGGCCCAATCCTTGCAGCCACGCCCAGAAGGCGGACCAAGGGCAAAAAAAGTTTGCCCATGCCTAGTATATACTCATGTTTGAATCAACCTCATATGTAAGTTAAGAGCAGGTTTTGGAACCAAAATTATGGATTTTGATATGATCTGTGAATAAGTGCAGGGCTAATCCATGGAAAAGCAAAGCACCAATGTTGCCTCAAGAGCCAGCTTCTCCTGGTTCCATCGCCATTTTTTTCACTAAATATCTCAGAAGCAGTCGCATTTAGGGTTTCTTTCACATTGAAAAGATACACTTATCTTCATGATGTAGGTGAAAAAATCACATGATTTCAATATCACCACCCCTGCACCAGTTGCTGTTTTGAGCTTAGGAGAGAAAAAAGAAACTGCATGTTTCTTTCAAGAAAACCAATTTCTCACCCACGAATACCCCCAGTGAAGAGGAATAGATGAAATTAGAAAGAAACCTTCAGGGAAAGACACAGGAAACACACACACACACACACAAACCCTTTAACTGAACCATAAATCAGACGAACTATCCCTCAACAATGGCCCACAAGAACAATTCCCAGAACCCAGATACAGTCCAACTACCTTCAGAGGAGCTATGTATACAGTTGCACTGCTATACATTATACTGAATGACAAGTATATTCCATTTACATAATTAAGCAATTTAGGACTGCACTTCTATGCGCACTTACTTTGGAGGCAAGATGTCATGAATTGACTAGTTTTATTTCATGCAAACATATATCAGATCAGGCTACAATGTCAGAAAACTGTTGTTACAGAACTCATGCTGTTTTTATACAGTAGGGGAAAAACAAGCAAATAACATGGACATTTTTGTATGAAGAATTCTATATTTGTGTTAACCTTGTAAATAAAAATAATCCAACATGCATTTCAGTATTCTGCAAAACAGTTGATAGAATAGAGACTACTGTTTACTTTTTGAAAACTTCTTTCAAAGTCATTTTGTTCCGTGTTTGTTTCCTAAAGGCACATGTTTTGTCTTGGAATTTACACTTTGTATAATTGAGCTTCTCCACTCGCCATGGTTAAGATCAAATGTTAAAAATGAAGCAAGGATAGTGTTTTTAAAATGTGTATATTATGTAAATAAAGTTTACAGAATGTTTGATTTAACCAAATTGGACTTGATTATGTTGCCTATGGCAAGCAATGGTGTATATGCCAAGAGAAAACATACACAGCCATTCTTAAACAAAAACATTTTTTCACTATTTTATATGCAGTCATTCAAGAATATTTGTGCATGTGTGTGGAAATTACAACAGTGTGTACATGTTTATTTTTTATATTTGTTAATAAATAGATATTAAAATATCATTGGTGTTTGTGTATTTTATAATGTAAATAATTATGGGATTCTTTGAACAAGCTGTTTTAACATAGAATATTTTATTTTAAATGTACATCACACACTTCCTTGTGTGTGTGTGTATTTATATTCCATCTTTTCCAATTTATGCACAGAATAAGATTGATAAAACCCTGGGTAAGATAAGTAAATGGAAAAGTATGTGTCTGTGGGGGAGCTCAGAAGGGCTGAACAATGGGATTGCCTTCATTAAAGACAAGAGAAAATGCGTCATGGGACAAACATGATATGCGGTTATGTGTTCACTCATCAAAGGCACGCCAGAAGAGCCAGGTTTTTAGGTCTTTCTTAAAGGCTACCAGGATGGGGGCTTGCCTAATCTCACTAGGTAGTGAGTTCCAAAGCCGAGGGGCCACAACAGAGAAGGCTGTCTCCCTCGTCCCCACAAGTTGTACTTGTGATGGAGGTGGGAGCGAGAGAAGGGCCTCCCCCGAGGATCGAAGAAATCGTGCAGGATTGTAAAAGGAAATGCAGTCACGAAGGTAGCTGGATCCCAAACTGTTCAGGGCTTTGTCCCCCATCCTCCCTTTTTTCTTTTCTTCCCTCCTTCCCTTCCCCTAAAGCACCAATACGTATGTTTATTATTATGTATAAAAACCCTCAATAAAAATATTTTAAAAATGCAAAACTAAATATGTGGAATATGTGGTACCTCTGTGGACTGAACCAGAAGCAAGCATCCCTCCCCTACCGTCACTCAAGGATTCCAGCAATACTACTACAGTCCAGCTTCTCAACCCTCTTTTCAACCCAACTACCCTTCCCCTTCTCCATCCACGCACCCCCTTATCTATCCAACTTCCCACTTTCCTATAAGCTATATTGTTCCTCCTCTATCCATGTTATATTATGAAAATGCACAATACGGATATGTGGAATACTAACCAAGGAATGCCATCTCAGCAGCCTTGTCCTCCTGGTCCATACCCTGGACCTTATCCTGGGCCAGGCATGCAGCCTGGTCAGCATCCTCTACCCACTGGATACCCTGGCCCATATGGGCACCCTCCTCAAGGGTCACATCACCATGGGCACCATCCTCCTCCACCTGGTCCACCTGGAATGCTCCCAGAAGGATCTGGATGCCCTCCAACTCAGCCACCAGGTTGTCACTCTCCTGGAAGTCATCATGGGCATCACAAGAAGCACAAGAAGCATAAGCATGGTCATGGTCATGGTCATGTCCATGGCCATCATGGCAAAAAGCATGGAAGCGACTCCAGCAGTAGCAGCTCCAATTCAGACTGAAGATGCCCTTTCTTGCTCTCTGGTGGATCCCAGCTTTCAAGCCCTTTCCAGCACTTAAGGATAAAATTAAAATTACTTTAGATCCTTTCTGGCACATTGAAAAAAAATGCAATTCTAAATGTTACACTTCCCTATCAGTTTTCATACTTTGACACAGTATTTTTCACTTTGGAAATGTGAAGTTTCCACACTAGATTAAATGCAAGCAGAATAATTACTAAGCTGTCTTGTCATATGCATCACCCCATCGGTGAAACACTTAATGTTCAAGATGGGTTCTGCATAGTTTAAATTTCTCCTTTGTTTAGAGTAGTTTGAGGGTTATAGCTAAGCAAGCCACAAAGTCCCCGCAAGCAATATCTCCCATGAATTAATTTAATCTTCTCTCTCTCTCCAACCCCTGCTTCTCTGAGCCCTGTGACGGGTTTAGATTACTACCTGAAGCACATTCCAATTGAGTTACTGATCTTTTTAGAAGAAAGCCAAAAACAAAGACCTCTTATTAGAGCCAGTGTGCACCCTTTACATGAGAATGTGACTGGTGTACTTGCAGAACAAAGGAGGACAAAGCACAGTCTGTGTTAGCAGGGTGCAATGTAATCCATCCTTGATTTCGGCGTGAGTGCTGGCAAACCATCCTTGGCCTTTGCAACTGCACAGAGGCTCTTTTAAGTGTGCCTGATAATGCAGTCCCTTCCATGGAATCCCATGCTCGCAGGTGGATTTGCCTGCAGCCCTGCTGTTTTCCACATCAGCACTAAATGATGTGATTAGAAGAAATGTGCTGTAATAGTGTAGGAGGCAGGAAAGGCGAGCTAATTGAGACCTCACTAAAAAAAAAAGAATAGAACAATGTATCCTATATATATATATATCTGTGTGTGTGTGTGTGTGTGTGTGTGTGTGTGTGTGTGTGTATATATAATATGATTTACCTATAATTTTATTTTGACCACTAAAAATAAAATGGCTGCTCAGCCAGGATGGAGGAATAGACAACTAAAACATTCCCAACAAATAACTTGCCAGTGCAATGGGACTGAAGGATTGTGCCGGCAGGACTGAAGACCGACATGTCAGAGGTTCGAATTCGGGGAAAGCATGGATGAGCTCCCTCTGTCAGCTCCAGCTCCCCATGCGGGGACATGAGAGAAACCTCCCACAAGGATGGTAAAACATCAAAAACATCTGGGCATCCCCTGGGCAATGTCCTTGCAGATGGACAATTCTCTCACACCAGAAGCAACTTGCAGTTTCTCAAGTCGCTCCTGAAATGGAAAAAAAAAGCCTTCATTTAAAGATCCAAAGAAGGAGACACCACTCCTTTCCAAAGCAGCCTGTGTTCCAGTAAAACCTCTTTCCTTGTGATTTGAATCAATTGGTTTGTGTTCTAATCTTTGAAGGAGGAGAGAGCAAGCTTGCTCCATCCCATATATGACGCTCATTGAAATATGTAAAAATAGCTATCAGATCATCTCTGAGTCATCTTTTCTCCATGCGAAATAACTTTACACGTATAATTTAAAGAACTATCTAGTGAGCAAATGTTGTGTGTCTTCAAGTCATTTCTGATTTATCGTACCCTTAATGCAAACCTATCAAGGTTTTGTGGGACTCGGAGTTTGACTAGCTTTGGATCAGCCAGTGGCGATTCCAATCCTAGTCCCAAGAGTTGTAGTCCAATATCAGGGAACATCTGTGAAAAGTCCCCACTTTCTGCAGTAAGAAACATGTCCAGTGTGGAACACATCTCACCACACTAAAACAGTGGATGTGGCTCTTAATGAGACATGCTGCATTATCTGCACCCTACACCACTGGAGAAATTACACACTTTGCTGGTATTGCATCACCTGACATCTGCCGGAAAGTAGCAGCCAATAATGAAAGGACCAAGATAGTGACATCTCAGGCCCACCCCCTGTTCGGATATCAACCATCAAATGGTTTTCTAAGATCTACAGAGATACTTAGAGATACTCAGCAAGCAAGAGTCCAAAAGTGGCAAGCTAAAACCTGGAACCTCAACCCATGGCTAATAGCAAATGAGAGACTTCCTCCTGGGCACATAGAACACTGGGCGACTTGGAAGGCACTGAACAGACCGCGCTCTGGCACCACAAGATGCAGAGCCAACCTTAAGAAATGGTGCCACAAAGTGGAGTCCACGACATGTGAGTGTGGAGGAGAGCAAACCACAAACCACCTACTACAATGCAGTCTGAGCCCTGCCACATGCACAATGGAGGACCTCCTTATAGCAACACCAGAGGCACTCCAAGTGGCCAGCTACTAGTCAAAGGACATTTGATATAATGCCAAGTTTTTAAACTTTGTGTTTTTAAAAATACATTACAATCGTACCCTTGGTTCACTCTTGATATGATAAATAAAATAAATAGTAAGAAACATGGGGTTCTACAACCAGATCAGATGGAATTTTAACTGACAGAAGGAGCCCCTGGTGATGCAATGGGGAGCGGTGTGAGCTCCCGTCTGTCAGCTCCAACTTCCCATGTGGAGCATTAGAGAAGACTCCCACAGGATGGTAAAACATTGGGCATTCTCTGGGCAACGTCCTTGCAGATGGCCAACTCTCTCACACCAGAAGCAACATGCAGTTTTTCAAGTTGCTCCTGACATGAAAAAAAAACCTGATAGAAGAAAACTTTACATTGAGAGAGAATGAAAAAGAAAATGCATTTCCCCAAAAGGCACAGACAAAAATACCAAGTAGTATGATCATTTATACATGGGGAGGAAAACGTAAATAGTCACAATAATATGAAAAATTACATTATAAGGGAAGAATGTGACCAAATGACCTGTCTGCCCGCTGCTCAGGCCGCATCTACACTGCCATGTGATGCAGTTTTTAACTGCATTATACAGTCAATGTAGATGGGGCCTCCGTCTTCTCATTCAGGCTCTAAATTGAAGCCTCAAAGCTCCAGCACTCTTCTCTGTGTTCTTTATATTTACACTGGTCTTGGACTGGAAGCAAAACAGGATATCTTCAAATAGGACTATTTTCAGTGTAATGCAGCAATGGGCACCATCTCAGGAACTGGGAGCCAGTAAATCATTTTTTGTTTGTGAAAGAGGGTAATCCGGCCCTTTAAGAAAATCTTCCTGTCAAAATAACATATAAATGTTCATCTGTTCTGATCAGAGGTTCTAAAGTAGCAGCCGGATATTTTTGCACCATTTTTTGCAAGGGGAAAGTTAAATCGAAGGGACAGAGTGTTGTTCACCCCAAACGTCACCTATAGCCATCTCCTAGCTAGTTCCTTTTGGTCTTCATAGAATCATAGAGTTGGAAGAGACGTCTTGGGCCATCCAGTCCAACTCCCTGCTAAGAAGCAGGAAAATTGCATTCAAAGCACCCCCAACAGATAGCCACCCAGCTTCTGTTTGAAAACCTCCAAATAAGGAGTCTCCACCACACTCCTGGGCAGATAGTTCCATTGGGTTGTTGTAAGTTTTTTGGGCTGTATGGCCATGTTCTAGAAGCATTCTCTCCTGATGTTTCAGCTGCATCTCTGTCAAGCATCCTCAGAGGTTGTGAGGTCTGTTGGAAACTAGGAAAATTGGGTTTATATATCTGTGGAATGTCCAGGGTTGGAGAAAGAACTCTTGTGTGTTGGAGTTAGGTGTGAATGTTTCAAGTGGCCACAGTGATTAGCATTTGATGTCCTGA